GGAGATTCTTTAGTGTCGTGTTGCTTTAAAACCAACGAGAGAAATCAAATCACAAAGGCCGTGTCCCGATATACACTGCCAGTACTGAAAATCTATAGTATACGTAATGCGAACTGTAGATTTTTTCAGTACTGACAGTGTACACCGGAACACGGCCAAAAAAAATAAAGGTCAAAGTTTAGAAGTAAAAAAACGAATAGAGGAATATTGGAAGTGGTACACAATGAATAAGCATAAAATGCTGTTGCTATGCGAATGTCAGTTTAATATATTGTGACATCATGTGCTTATTAGTAGCATCGTATATCAGTGTATCAATTGCTACAACTTTGTAAGTATTCTAAATATTCTAAAAATTTATATTATTATAATATTTACAATTCCCGTATAATTTTATTTTCAGTCAGAAACAGATTTTTATTCGATGGCTGTCTCTCGGAAGGCAATAACACCGAAAGTATCTTGCCACGAATATTCTTTTATTAAGCAGTTCGGAATCGGCATTAAAACTATAGGTCCCGCATATCTACGTAAATAGTAAATAGCATACATCACAGAAATACATTGAAGTGTTATTACGCTCTGACAAGAGGTGAAGGACTTGAAAGAAAACTTTATCATGCATGATTGAATTCGTTCTAAAATAATCTTTAATTTGGTTATAAAAAAAAATTCGAAAATTTGAAAAAAGTTAAGTGGTAGGAGTATAAAAAATAAAAAAGATATTTTAAATTATAATTATTAAGTACTTTTAAAATTAAAACGGAAAGAACGATTTTGTTGAAAGGTCTAAAAATTTTGCTAAATACAGATTTGAAAATAATTCTTGTTCAATCTTCAAAATAATTTGTTCAAAAGTTAAAAATTATAAGCATTACTATAAAACGTTTTAATATTCTAGCAATCATTGTGACTTTCTAACAAAATTATTTTGATTATTGAACTAAAATTATTTTTAGATCTGGATTCAGCAAAATTGTTCTTTCCATATATTTAACTTTTATTTCAAACATTTCTATTTCTCATAATTTGAATATATTACTACATATGTATTCGCTTCGAAATAGAATAAGTGATTTTCTTTCTAAGGGGTGTTTTATCCTTTAAAGAATAGTGCGAAGAAAAGTGCGCATCTGTACAAAAAAATGTGACTTATTTTTGTCTAAAAAAACAACATATTCGAAATTCATCAAAATTAGACGAGACACTTAGATCTCTTTTCTTTGGTGCTAATAATATTTTTAATATTTTATTTTTAATTTAAAACCTTATTAATGAAAAAATTGTGAAGATATTTAACTTAAATCCTTAGATTTTTTAACTCTTCTGATTTTTTAAATTAATTTAATTCTTTTATATATTTTGTCGTGTATATTTAATTCCTCTTGCAACTTTTCCATATTTTAGTCCCTTTTCTAGACGACTTGAATCGCATTCACGATTGAAAATGCGAGAGTCATTCGTCTTAGCGGTATAGAATAGGAGGGAGATGAAAGTGCACTTTAGATATTACGCTTTTTGGCGAGAGAGAAAGAGAGAGAGAGAGAGAGAGAGAGAGAGAGAGAGAGAGAGAGAGAGAGTTCCCACCCTTCTGCCGATTGTTCATTGCGCGAATTACGCGAAACGGTATGGTTTTTTTTTTGTTTAGGAATTCACGACAAAGCCGTCACCAGCCCGATAGAGTTGGCTTGCACGCGCGTTGGCGGAGTGCCACTTGTGCAACACGTGTACGCGCGGGGATTTCCGCAAAGATGAAAACGGATAGCGGCGAATTCGATTTCCGAGTTGCAAACGAGGATGCCTCTACGCGTAAATTACATGGCATTCGCGATCCTCGCGTTTGCTTCCGTCGATACTGAGCGATTAATTTCGTCCGCACCCCTCGGAATAGACTCTCTGTGCCAAATAATGATACTTTGTACTTCGTACTTTGATAGTCAGTCACATAAGAAGGCGTCGCGTGAGAATGTGGACGTTGCACGCGACGAGAGAAGGTCGAGAGCTTCGTTTCTTCTGCAGTTCGTCGCGATTATTAAGGCAATGGGATTAACTTTCGTAATTATTGCGAATTAAGCGTCTCACTCTCGTACTGCGGATACACGTGGTTAATTTCGAGGGTAAGTGCGCCTTGAACCGACAAATTTCATCAATTTTCGTCGGAGCCGTTTTAACACGGCAAGGTTGACCGATATAGCCGTACCGCAACGCGTTAATAAATTACAAGAGGGACGATATATTCTCAAAAGATCGAACAAACTAAATATACGCAGAATCAATATCTTGGAATTAATACGAACCGATACCACTCGCGCGCGCGCGGCGTGCACGTGGAGGAAAATGAACGTTTTGTGTCTCAATAACGCACGTCGTTTCCCTTATTTTTCCATTCACGTCACAGAGTGACGTTCATTGTTTCCAGTTTCAAGGTGCCGAGAGATGAAACGAGGATAGGAGAGATAAATGTGTGTACAAACAAAAGCAGCTCGATTTTATATTAAATTGAACACAGGCTGCTTTGAAAATGAGTTGCTTCATTATTAACATCAAATGATTCTTTCGATAGTTACAACAAATTGTATTATAAATTTGTAAATTTGGAAACGACGAAAGGTTAAAGGGAGAAATTGAAGCTTTCGACCGCGTAGTAATAGAATCCCTTCCGTTGGTTCCCGCGAAAATACATCTCGTTTCGCAATCTCCTGGCGATCTGTCGGTCCACCGACGCCTGGCTGCACCGCGTAACGAGAGTGACGTCGTCGGTAAGTTATGTAAGCCGCAAACGAGCAATCAGACGACCGACTTACATTTCGTCACTCGCAGACATGCGTTCGAGACTCGTCGCCTCCGGGCGTAAGGCAGAAAAGATATATACATTTTGTATATATATACATATGTATTGTATATATGCAATGTAATTTAAATACAAATTTATATGTATTATAATTTTTATTATGTAAATTTATATTATTAATATATTTTATACATATAGATATTAATAATTATATATGAATATACATTAATAAATTAATAATAATATTAATCTCTATAATAAAAATTAGAAAGATAAAAAATATGTAAATATAATATAATTTAAATTTATATACATTATAATCCTTACAAATTAATATTATTATTAATTTTACACACATACCTTGGTAGAAATGTATGCAGTTTTTCTAGACATCCAATTACTATCTACCTAGTATTACTATGTCCATTAATTGTAACAATACTGCATCGGAAACGTAATAACTTCGTATAGA